TAGGTTATAACTGATATTTATATATTATTAAGTGAATATTATGCATTTGAAAAATTTGCTCATAATAATTCTGATATTATTGCTGGTTGCTTATTAGATAAGACAATGATTTTTAATGAGAAAATAGAAGAATTAAAAGAATATGAAATTGTAATCTTAGAGAAGGATTATAGTTATCATAGACGTATCTTTACATTTGTCATATATCATACTTTGGTGTTTGATGAGACTATTAAACAAGTCAAATAAATCATATCAATTCTAAAAATCAATTATTGAATCTGATAAATTATTTTTCTGGAAAATTGGAAGACTTTAATATTAAATTTTTGGCATTAAAAATTTTGCTTATTCTTTATTTATGATTATAAAAAAATTAATGAATGTGATTTTTTAAAAGATACTTATTGTGATGATATGAGACATTTGCAATAGGAAAAGGAAAAGCAGACAGAAAATCAATTTTACTTTTATATGCCAAATATGATTTTTTGGTCAAAATATGTTTAGATTTAGCATTAATTCATTTTTTATTTTTTTCAGTCATTTTTTCTTTTCTATTGTAAAATTTTATATACTTAATAATATTATCATAAAGATTTTAAAATGAAATACTATTGAAATTCATTTTATAAAAAAAAGTTTTCAACAAATGATTCTTGAATAATCACAGATTTATATTCTAATGAAAAGCTTTTAATAAAGAAGAAAAATTCTTGCAGTTTACAAAAATAAGAGTTAACATTATTTGATAGATTTAGTTATATTCAACTTAAAATTACTAATAGCAAGGATTTATGACTTGCTTATAAACTAATAGAGAATATTATAAATTGTATAACCTCAGAATATTACAGTTAATATGATTAAAAAAATATAATTCTATAAAAAGACACTTACTAATAAACTTAATTTTCAAAATGATAACTTATATTCATTAAATAATAAAACTGATAATTTCATTACTTTATTCAAAGATTTCAAAAATATCACTTTAATATG